TCCAGGTTTAACATTATTCCCAGATGAGTATCTGCTGTTTCTGGGGCAAAAAATGGCGAAGGATCTGGGATATCATGTTGTGAGGGAAAAGTTTTCCAAATATCGCCTTCATAAATATCAAACATTAATCCTTGATTAACACTCCGATTTGTCCATTTTCGTAAAAGCTCTTCAAAACCTGCTCGTTGATACAATGCAACTAGCTGTGTCTTTAAGCATGGTAGAGGGTAAATCATTATCGGCCGCCAAATATATCCTTTAGATATTGGTACCTTTTTTAATAAGTCTGTATTGCAATATTTTTGTTGATTCTTTATCTGATGATTTGGGAACTCGACATTGTTGCATTTTGTGCTGGAGTCGGCTGAGCTTTTGGAAATGACTTCTGTTGGATTGAATAATTTATTACATTGGGGACATACTGCATAAGTATTTGATTTTTTAATAAATCCCATTAGTTTTTTTGCCATATAGGCAGATGAAGGAAAATTTTCAAATCTATTTTTATCGATTTCCAATAAAACCAACTTGAAAAATTTAATTAACGCGTCGATTGCCGAATCGGATAGCTGGAATCTTGTTTGATACTTAAAAATCCAAAGTAAAATCCATGTATCACTAAAGTTCACGCGTATATTAGAAGTTTCGACAGTATCATCAAAATCGGGAGCAGAAAATTGCTTCATAGTTAATGCTTCATCATCATCTGATAGCGTTTCATCATCAATTGGCCGAAAATCTTCATCACTATATTGTTGATCAACTTCTGCCGGGTTAATAAATTGATGCCTGGCATGCCTAGCATCACGATTTTTAAGCGTTTCATCATCAATTGGCAGAAAATCTTCATCACTATATTGTTGGCAAGCTTCTGCCGGGTTAATAAATTGAAGCCTGGCATGCCTGCCATCACGATTTTTAATAGTTGCAGTATTCTATCCTGAAACTTTCCTTTTCTTTTTATCAGGTTCTTCCATTGCCAGCCGCAACTTTTCCTCCTTTGCATAGTGTTTTTCTCTCGTTCTCGACTCAGTCCACTTACCATTGCATTTTTTGCAGTTGCATGGCACTTGTGGTCTTACTTTCGTAGTTTTTGAAGCTACCGTTATAGATAATTGGTTTTTTTTAGATTGACCAACTGTTGTTTGTTCTCGCATCTTTAAATATAATGTGACTGAAAAATTAAAAAATGCGCGTTTACCCAATACGATGGTATACGCGGCATAACCTATTTAGAATAAATTAAATGATGTCACATACTCTCTCCCTACCGATAAATATAAACACGTAAATAAAAAGAAATTTTTTTTCACTTTAGCTGGTCTCCACTTCTCCACTCTCCACCTTTTGAAGTCTTTTTCGCCGAAATGGGCGACAAGGTTAGGAAAGACCACAACAAAAAAGAAAGAGCTATGATAACTCAGGGACGTCATCCATGTGCAGACAAAAACCGCCAACCAAAGTCCAAAAAATATAGCACTGAAGAATCTTAATATTAATAATATATTCTTAATTATTGTTTTGCGAATATTTCTTTATTTCGTTCGAATATTTATTTGAATATTTATTTGAATATTTATTTGAATACAAATTTATTAATAAAAAGAAGACGCGCACACGAGAGACGTAAAAACGAATATTATCACCCATCTTCTTGTCCGTCGGACTCAGAAGAACAATTATCAATACGTAGTAGAGAGAACCGACAAGCAGGTTAATGTTTAATTAGAAGTCTTTTGACCTTTTTACTTTGTATCACTTTACACTACTTTACATTCCTAACTCGTATACATGTAATACGTTGATGCTGATTTAATTGGAAAATTATGAACATGAAGTTGTGGTAACTTCTTACCATGTAACAAGTGATTCTGAATCTGCTTCCGGTTACAAATCTGGTAATTCTGAGACCTCTGATGACGAATCTGGTAATGCTGATAGCGAATCGACTTCTGACGATCCCGATTTGATTTCTGATTATAGTGATTCTGATTCCAATTTTATTCCAAAATATTATTTTTCAAAAGACAAAATGCCACACGATCTTCTGGTGGCCTTGAGAGTAAGTGAAAGTTTAATTTATTATTGAAATTGTTAATTAATGTTGTTATTCGCAATTTAGCTGGAAGTGAAATGGCTATTAAGCCGGTTCCCGGATGAAGATAAGCTTAACCTTAATGAAACGTTTGAACAACAATCGGACCACGTGAATGAAATTATTGTACCGGCAATTATGGAATCATTAAATAAAACGATATTTCCAGTCGCCAATAAAGTTGTATACAGCATGATACATTCATTACACCGACACCGACGAGAAGAATACAAACTTAAAAAAAGATCACCAGAATTCATAGACAAGCAAAATCGAAGACGACACTCCAATAGCCAAAGAAATTCAGTAAATATTATTAATTTCTGTCTTATTCTGTAGTAATTTAGTTTGTTTTATATACACTTTTTTTTTACAGAAACAAAAAAATAGGGCAAAAATGATTAATCACTTACGAAGGGTAGGCGATCCACTAATTCGGAAATTCAATAACGAACACCTGCAGCCAGTCATTAATCATAGTGCATATCACTCCCCCGAAATTTCCGAAACGGATGAAGAGAATCCATCCGGAAAAAGAAAAATAGTGATAAGAGATTTCAAATGGCGGTCGTCAACTGTAAGTAATGTCTTGAAATTAATAACAATTAGCATAAATACTAACCATTTTTTTTCTTCTTATGCTAAGTGTCGTATGTTTTTACGAAATTACATAGATCGGAAGATTTCTGAAAAGTCGAAGGTTCCTAAGAAGAGAAAATATGTTTATGATAACGAAAATTTTTATGACAAGGAAGAAGAGAAACCCTGCAATGCTCCTAAATGGACTTGTACCAAATATAAAGGTATATTAAAAACACACATTAACGATGCCTGCGGCTGTCAGTTTGGCAACGAATTACCATCAAGACCGAACGAATTAAATGACAATGAAATTTAATTTCTTAATGTGATTTGTTAAATTAGAAAAGTTAGATTTTAGCTCATATTGATTGTTAAAATTAAAATAAATAAAAATCGGTATCATTTAGATTAATTAAATATCAATTCATATATCAATGTATTAATAATAACCGATTTATGCTGTTGATTATTGAGTTCTGTTTATTTCCTATTTTCAATTAAATTGCTCGAATATTGACTAAATTGTGCCAGTTAAAAAAGTGCCCGATTAATGACGAAATCTTGCCGGTTAAAAAAAAGTGCCCGATTAATGACGAAATCTTGCCGGTTAAAAAGTGTCCGATTAATGACGAAATTGTGCCGGTTAAAAAGTGTCCGATTAATGACGAAATTGTGCCGATTTCCGCCATAAATTTACAGCAATCGGTAATCACGCCGATTCAAAGTAATTTGAATAATCAGCATTAATCAGTAAATGATCGGCATTAATCGGATAGTCCGATTATTAACTGATTGATATCCGATCACATGCCGATTTTTAATCATTTGACCTGTGATGCATATGATGAACTTACACGCAGCCACTTCTCTTGCCGAAGACCTTGGTCTCGATCTTGTAGACATCTATGGAATTCATAAATGGATCCAAATGCAGGTTTCACCCCTCAACGATCCCGACATAGTAAGAGAGATGGTCAGAAACCTTCTAGTCAAAGAATTCAGAAAGCATCTTAAGATAAACAGACTCTGGTACAACTGTTGTAAAGCCGAGTTGTGGAAGCGACATGAGAAAGCCGAGGAGGCATACGACAGGGCAGTAGAAAAGAAGGAAAAAGCGGGGGATGATCTTGGTCAATCATTTGAGGAGGAAGGTATTGGAAATCGTGAACTTCATGAGCTTAAATGGAAGGCATATCAAAAGGCTTGTAAAGAGTTATCAGAAGCTAGAAAAGAGCATTGTATGGTAAGGTGGGCTGTCGAGCGGTATGGATTTCACTAGATATATGTGGATTGAAAAAGGGGAAGGAAAGATTTAGAGCAGTCGTAATGGTTTGTGGTTTATAGTTTTTTTTTACCCCTAAAAGATAACCAGGTATGACCAAAGGACCGCAGAACCACAGGACCACAGGACTACAGGAGGATAACTGGGTAGGAGTGCGGATCTTTGAAAAAAATATATTCGGCAATTGAAGATTAGGTAACTATAAATTAGTACTCGATTTAATAGAACAAAAAATGACTGCCCAAACTAGCATTTAAGCTCAAGTTATCCCCAAGTTCGGTGAACAGAAGAAGGCTTTTAGTATTGATGAGCTTAAACAGCTCATTAACGCTGCAAAGAATATGAGAGATCTCAATCAAGCTAAAGGTTATCTTTGCAGTTACTTTATCCCCTGCTCCAACCTGCATGAAGTCTTCATGTGGCGGTCAGAAATCAAAAACCTCGAGCACATCTCTGATAAAAATATTAATAAACTTATCCGTCCAATTACCAAAGTCTTTTACACACAATCCGAACAAAGTCCTTCACAAAAGGTTGAATTCAATATCAACAAATGGTTTATGATCGAATATAGTACTGTATGTGTAGCTACCTGTGACCCTCAAAAATCCTGTATCTTTAAACTAGGTGGCCAACTTTATCTCAATATCTTCCCAGGATTCCTCCATATCCTGCGTCCGATATTCACTTTTGAATCTACAACCCACCTCGCGGTTAAATTTATCTTCTCCCACATTCAGGATATCTGGTGTTCAGGCGATTGGAATCTTACTGAGTATATCATCAAGTGGTTGGCCGGTGTGTCTGCTGGAAGGAAAATGTATTCGATTCTCTACCTGAAATTCGGACAAGATTGGGGTAAGAGTATTATAACAGATTTCATTCAACGTAGTGTCTTAGGTACTCAACTTCATCAGTAAGTTTTTTAGTATTAGGATCCTTAGAGATTCCTAAAATTATTAAAGAATCCTTAAAGATTTTTAAATTTTAAAAATCTTTAAGGATTCTTTAATAATTTTAAAAGATCTTTAGGGATTCTATAAAATAATAGATTCCTTAAGGATTTTTAAATGTTTTATCCTTAAGGATTTTTAGAAATATTATTTTTAAGAATCCTTAAGGATTTTTAAAAAACTTTTATTAAATAAATCTATATATTTTACTTATAGTAATTAATAAAGTAATATTTATTAAAAGTAGAATTTATTTACAAAAAATTCATTTTGATAATAAAAACGTTTTACTATATGTACTAATCCTACAATTGAATTAAAGGGAACTACATCATAACTATTTACAAATTTTAAGTGTGGACACTCATACTTTTTAGGATATCGTTTAGAATAATAATCATACCAATGTATTAGTGCAATTGGTAAAGTTGAAGAAGATAATATAATTTCAGCTAACATTAAAATCTAAATTTATAATAATTATAATGACAAATATCATAGTAATTAGTAAACTTCAGTTAAAAGTAAAAATATAAAATTAAAAAAATATAAATTTTAATATAACTTACTTTTTCATAACATATTCCATTGTCTGTTAAATAATCAGCATCATCCATTGCAATTGCAATATCACTAAATTTAGGTCGTCCATAAAATCTACTAGTTGCATATACTATTTCGCCATTTGTTAATATTCCAGATGCATAAATTTTTAAGTTAATATTATCATTTTCTAAAATATTTGATTTTTCATCTAAAAATGCATCTAGACAATAAATTAAATTTTGTATTCCTTCAATACATAAACTATCTATATCTTTTTCATGCTTTAATTTTTGTTCAAGATTATCCAATTCACTAATAAATAGTTTCCATAATAAAGATCGCATACAATCTAACTTTAACATAGTTGGTTTTTTTAATTCATTAGTTGTAATTATTTGCCGACAAATCTAAATATAAAAACCATTTTATTTTTTGACATTAAAAACAATAAATAAAAATATATAAAATAATTATTATAACTTACAGTTTTAATGATTTGATTAAGAACATTTTTTTTATTAGATATTCTATATGGGTTTTTAACCCAATTCTTATGTAATGTTTTTTATGTTTCAGTCGTTAGTCCATTAATTGCACCATAATGTTTAATAGTTTGAATAGTATGATATCGCCATATGTTAATTTTTGGTAGGCGAAGTTCACTTCGTGAAAATGTCTTAAATAATTTGACAAAATCATCTGACCATCTAATAATTTCTTGCTATATCAATATAAGAGAAACTGAGATTAAATAAATTAAATAAATTAAATTACAACTTAATGATAATTAAAGAATTACCTCAAACTCATTTAATTCATCTTCATTAATTTTTTCTTTTCTAGATGTTATATACATTTTAACAAATTTTATAAAACATTGAATTAATTTTTTACAATCAACGAACTCATTTGACGTATTTTCTGTATCATTTCGATGTCTTATTATATCATTATTTGTATAAAGCTCATCTAGTACAAATATAATTATTTTTATAACATCACGCATTTCTGCTCCAGTAAATTTTGCTCCTTGTTGATATCCATTACTCAATATTCTTAATCCACTAAATGGCGTAATAGTGGCTAACTGAACATCCATTTTGGTAATAATTTGATTACCAGATTGATACATAATCATTTCTCTTGTAAAGTCAAGCATATATGGAAACAAACCAATTTCTTGCAGGTGCATACGGTCTAATGCCACTACATCATAAATATTCATCATTCTAAAGTAAATAAATTATATTAATTTAAATAGGATTATTTTTTAAATCAAATATAAATTAATTATTTAATATTTTACCTAAATTTCCAGAAAAAGTTTTCATGTTCATGAATGGAATATTTTGCGGCATCATGTGATAAAACAACTGCACTCATATTTTCGTGGATTCGTAAAATGATAGAATTTACATTAACATGCGTGCATATTATTTAATTGATCTCCCGGTATAAGACATTTGTAGCAAGGACATGTTGTACAATATGATTTGTAAGTACAGCAAATACTTTGTGCCTCTGACATATCAGCTAATATAGTAGATATATGTGGAATAAAATGTTCTACTTTTCCATTTATTGCCAAGTAGATGTCTTCTTTCCGAAGAAGTGGGCTTAGCAAATATTTCAGAGCACGTTGTTCCAAATTTCGCTTGTATTGTTTAAATTTCTTAGATTCTCGAAGTTTACCGTCTCTAGTACTCAATTGTGGTAAAAAGCAAACAAAAACCTTTGCATCAGGGAAATTCTGGCGCCAATTAGGAATATTAGTAAGCGTTAAAAATACTGGGTATTCAGAATGTCGCCCATATGTATCAAGTGTAGTACCATCAATGTATAACATTACTGCAAGAATTTTACTAAAAGGTGACTCTCTTTCACGCTACCATTCTGCAGTATTTTGTTCTGAATATACTCGCATCAAAGTTCCATTCTTATTAAATAAAATATCAATTATTAGTTATTTATTATAAAAATACTAGTCATTGTTAAAATTCTATACATACATCACGAGATTCCCACTATTCCTTATAATCAAGAAAAAATTCTTTACATAATTCTTGATTAGATGTAAGACTTTTTATTGCATCAATGATAGGACGATAATGTAATTTATAAGTTATTCCTTCAAATTCAACGAGATCTTGTGTTTTTAGATGAAGACCTTTAATATTCATTGTATCCATATACAATCGTCCCTTTCGTGTAGAAGCAGGTAGTAGTTCAGTACAATTCTTTTTTATTATTTGTAACATTGCATCACCTGCTGCATCTGAAATACGATACTGTGTTATTGCTGTCATAAATTCTTTATATGTCTGACTTGGCCATGTAACGGTTTCTTGTTTATTATTGCCATTTAAATCATCAAGTGCAGCAATATAACTTCCATCGTGAAAATCGTCAATATCACCAGAAGAATTTTCACTTTCATCACTATTATTTGATAATTCATTATCATCATCATCGATACTTTCATCCTCATCGATCCTTTCACCATCATCGCCATCACCATCTTCGATCCTTTCATCATCATCGTCTTCGATCCTTTCACCATCATCACCATCAACATCTTCGATCCTTTCATCATCATCATCATCGATTTCAATCCTTTCATCATTTCCAAAACTTGAAATTTGCGATGGTAACGGATTTTGATCATCTATTGGTAATAAATTATCTGCCTCAGCCTCAGCAAGATTGTCTGAAGATCGAGGTGGTTTTTGGTACTCATATCGTTGATCTTGTACCCAATTTAGTGTTCGTGACTGTTGGAAGTACGGATGGAGTCGATTAAAATGTTGTGTAAGACTCTCTCTTCGTGAAAAACCTCTCTCACAGAAATTACATTTATACATTTTTGTATTTTGTCTTTCTTTAATTTTCTTATTCACTTTTCCTTACTCTTTCCTATTAATTAGTAACTTGAATTATTGCTTTACTAGTTTGCCGAGAACCTTATATCATCCAAAAAATATTAGTTCAGTTGCACTACCAAACCACCATTAATACTTTTTAGAAATAATTACCTAATCTTATATTTTCTCCGATATTATCCAAATATATAACGATAATAATTTCTAAACCATAAATATTTGACGATGGCGTATATTGTCTTTCAAGAAATATTTTTGGATGAAATATATAAGGGAAATGTAGAAAGAAGTTAAATTTACAATAAACGAAGATAAATGAATTAATCAGTTTCAGTTATCATCATTTTCTTACTGATTTTAATTAATCATTATGTTTGTTACTATGTAATTGATTAGTAAGTATTCAGGGATAATAGTCTAATTTACATTGATTTTGCGGAGATAGAAAATAACTTATTTAAACTTTTTTTTTACTTTAATTCTATTTCTTTCTCGAATTTTTTTTTTATATATATCACGGCAAGTAAGGTTTTTTTACTTCTTTAACGTGTAAATTATTTTCGTGTCAATTCACTAAATCTCAAAAAGACAAAATAAAACTTTTCAATATTTCGCTCTTCGGTGATATAAGACATCATTATGACTAAGAAAAAAGGCAAGTAATACGTTCAACAATAAAATAATTTGAATATATTAGAAATTAAATTTTTATATTTCTATTTATTATTGTAGCACCTACCCGAAAAGTCTTAAAAGAAACTCAGAAGATATCTAACGTAACTACTGATAATTCCAGGAGAAAAGTTAGCGAAGCAGACAAAATTGCTTTGAAGTTGGGCTCTAATTCTAAAGGTAATATCTTTAATAATAGAATTATTTTATTAAACGACAATAATAAGTTCATAATATAGTGTAAGAAGTGAAAACTAACAAATTTTATATTTATTTATTATAAAAAAAAAGTCACAAAGCGAAAGAAAAAAAATCCCATTACGCTTGAACCTATTGTTATCGTTGATGCAGATCAAACAGAACAATGTAATACTGCAATGCAAGTTGAAATGGATTGTGAAGTTGCAGATATTAATGTAGGACGAATATCAAACAAGACTAATGGTAAGATGTGTTATTTGTCATTATCATGGGTTATTTAAGCGTAATCAAAATATACATTTTAATTTTGATTTATGATAAACACATCTTATTATCATCTTATGGAAGGTTTAAAAAACTGTTTAACTCAAAATAAAGAAATATTTCAAGTAATTTATGATGTTAAAAACGAGCAAAAGGAATTTTATAAGAAAACTCGTGAACAATTAAATGAACTATTGGAAAAAGTTGACCAATTAATGATTCCTGAAAACTCTTATTGGAAGGTATGTATAATTTGTAATTGCTTTTTTACTAAATTTATCGACCACTTATTTTTATGTATTTAGAATTTAGCGTCAAAAACTTGTAAAATTCAATTACCCATTCTTGGGATTTATTCAGACGGTATTGCATTTCAAAAAGCATTTGAGGCTATGCTTGAACAAGAAAAACCTGGATACATTGAGAAGCATGGACCTCAATGGATGCATATTTATGAAGGACGAATTAAACCTTTGGTAATTATGGATTTGTTTGTTTTATTAATAGTAATACTAAATAATAACTATTAATATAAAATTTCTATTTTTAGTGTAATGATATAATTAAAAGTCTGTGTTGTGATAAAGTCAAAGATATTTGTGCCTCCATGTTTGACATATTTGGTGAAGATTGGCTAGTTCGTATAAATACTACTGCATCAGCTGATGATATTTTTTCATTTAAACAATTATGTAAAACCAAAAAAGCATTTGAATGCTTATTTAAAACTGATGAAGAGGGAAACCTTTTATATATTCAAGCAATAAAGAATAAGGCATGGGGTAAAAAGAAAACAAGTGAAAAGGATACGGCTTTTACCCTAGCTGTATGTGAAACTGTTTTAAATCCGAAACATCCGAAAATATCTATTGGTGATAATTCTTTGCTAAATAGATATAATATTTATTTGGTATGCAATATGTATTATATTAATTATTTAATTAGTTAAAAAATATTTACTAATAAATTTTTTTAGGATTGTCTTTCTAATTCAAAGGAGATAACCGCAAATACTACTAAACAAATTAGACTTATGGAACTATGTAAAGAAAATGATAGTGATACTAGTAGCAACAATAGCGGTGATAGTGAGAGTAATTATGATCAAGAATTGGAGGATAATCAAGAATTGGGGGATAATCAAGAATTGGGGGATAATCAAGAATTAGAAAATAATTATAATCATGATAGTAATCAAGAATTAGATAGTTAAATTAGGAGTAAAAATTGTATAAATTTCGAAATAATAAATAATTAATAGAAAATTAAATAATTAAATAATATCCTTAAGGTTTACTTAAATAATGTCCCTAAAGTTTCTTTTAAACAATACCCTTAAAGGTTTTTTTAAATAATATTTCTAAGGATTCTTTTTAACCTTTAGGGATTTCTTAATTTTTTTTTCAATAAGGAACCCTCAGCGGAGGGGATGATTCTTTGAGGATCCTTCTTATGTTATGGATTTTAGGATTCTTTGAGGATCCTAATACTAAAAAACTTACTGATGTTGTTTATAAGACCAGCGATCCTCAAACGATTCTTGGAAGTTTCAATGGGCAATTACAGGGTAAAGTTCTTCTTCTTTTCGAGGAAATGCCCACAGAAAAAAGCCAGTGGAATAATCTGTATTGATCGTTGAAGGATAAGGTAACAGATGACATAATGGAAATCCATGAAAAATATAAGACGCCAACACATTACAAAAACTTTATATCCACCATTGTACTCACCAATGAAAATGCTCTCAGAGTGGAGAATGACGATAGGCGCACAGTGTTATTGGATGTGTCACCATCCTGCAAGGGAGATCTCAACTACTTTAAGAAACTTGGTGACACTATGAAATACCCAGGTGCCAGTGAGGCATTCTATGCTTACTTGAGAGCCATTGCAGACGCTTATCCAGACTTCAATGGGAATCCACCACCTATGACAACATCTAAGCAGGATCACATCATATCGACTCTCCCACCCCTCTTTCAATTCATAAAGGATACATACCTCATAGTAAAAAATCATATGACCGATCTACCTGTTCAAGAATTTTATAGAGTATATACTTCATACTGTGAAACTCATTGCATTTCACCCTTATCAAAGATAAACGCTTCTAGAATCCTATCAAATGAGTTGAGTATAAATAGTAATCGGACTTATATAAATAAAAAGTTAACCCGAGTATATAGTATATCCAGGAGGATCTATACAAGAAGTTTCTTGGCAAAAACTGGATACATGAAACAGATGAAATCGATATAGAAGGAATTGATATAGATACTCCTGAGAAGCTCGCATCTGATCCAAATGCCTTGGAGAAGTTCTTGGCAAATATATATAATCCAGCTAGTAAATCACAAGTAGATCAAGAGAAAGTGGAGTTAGTTGTTGAGAAACCCGCTGAGGAAAAACCTGCACCTGTTATCAAAGAGCAATCAGTTGCCAAAAAGGCTTCTCCACCAGTACCACCCAAACCTGATTGCTTGAAGGTAAAACCCGCATCTGTCATCAAGGAGGATTCCGTTCTTGAAGAACCTCCAGCTCCTGTCGAAAAACAGGATGAATTTATAGATAGTTTCTCAGACTGTTATCTATCTGATGAGGAACCTGACCAAGAAGATGAGCCGTCTGCTGAAGAACCTGTACCTGAAGCAGATGATGACTACGATGTCTTAGGTGACTTGTTATCTGACTCAGATCCTATAACCACAAACCCAGCTCATGAACAACAACCCGAGTCTGCTGCAGAAGATTCTGCATCTGTCACTAAGCCTGACCCAGAACCTGTAGTAAAACCGGCTTCTGAGCAACCTATCCCAGAACTCAACACAGAACTAGAAGTCGACCGGAATCCTGAACCAAGGGAAGGTACTCAAGCACACTGGGCTTGGCAAGAAAGACACTGATGGGATCGTAAGCCATGGGTTAAGAATTCAAAGGACCAGGTCTTCAATGATCTCTATAATACAGGTAAGGAATTATGGGCTAAGTACCAAGACACATCAGACGAATATGATTGGGACATGCTTGTGTTTGAAGTAGAGGAATGTCCCATAACACGTGTTGAGGACAAGTACCAGTACTACCTTAGGGAAGTAGTAAACCGTTTCAAGGACTGGATCGAATATAATGGGAACTTACCTAAAACACCCAGTTGTAAAGAACTTGCAAATATAATAAGAGCATATAAGGAAGATCATGATGCTGAGATTATCCCTACCCCCTCCGGTTATGAAACTATGAAGATGAATAAAGGTAAGGCACGAGAAATTCCAGAGGAGCGTCCAAAGACCGAAATGGAACGCCAGTGGGAGGCTGCTAATGATGGATTTGTAGACGAGTTAGATATTGATGATGCCTGTGATATGATTGACTCCTTTTAATAAGATAAGCGCCTCTTAGTTATTTTATATTTTTTATATAAAAAACCTATATTACAATTGAATACAATTCATAGTTATATCAAATGGCCTATTCAAAAATTGCACGTGCTTTACCTACAAGACCAGATATCAAAGAACTACAGTATTCAGGCGCAAGATTTTCTAGATGAGCTATTGCCAGACTTGGACAGCAATTCTAATCCCGGTATCCAACTTATAAATTTCAGATCCTGCTCCCCTATGAAAACTGGAAACCTGGTAGATGGACATCAGGAAACCAACCAGCCAGCCTCTTTTCACTATTAGACCATTATGATGTAGCACAACTACCAGATAATGCAGATCCTGATTACTTTGAACGATTCATAATTTATGTGAGAGGTGCTCCACCGGTTGCAGGAGGATGCAATGGGGAGCTAAATGATTGCCTGTATGAATGCCTGAAGCATATCTATAGTATATTCTCTAAAATACCCGAGACTATAAAAAAGCCTGAGTATATCAAAAAGGCATTAGGTCTTAATCGTGATGCTTCAGTTCCAGTCTCAAATATGGATAAGGTTGAACAACTTGCAGGAAGCCTTACACTTAATATTGTAGGGGATTCTACTCGAATTTCCAAGAGCAAGTCTAACAGACGCGCAACCCTTATCCTGTCTGAAGGCCACTACTCTCTTGCACTGAATCCCGGAAGACTCCACCCTAGTAAATTAGATAGAAAACAAAAGTCTCCCTTTGTTTATCGTTAAGATGGGGTTAATAATGTAGTAACAATATACAATGGTAAGACAGTTAAGTCTCTTACAGTTGGACAGTTTCAGAATGGTAAGAACTCTGATAGTTACTCCTTCATTCCTATTGAGAAGAATCGTAAAACTGGAATATATGAAACACTTGAGGAAACATACCAGAGGATCCATGAAGAGCGGGATTCCTTCCTACAGGCTACAAAGAAGTTCAGTCTAGGAATCGACTTATCTTACCACAACTGGTCGTACAAGAGAACTGCTCTCTGGCTTTTTGAACGGTTTAGTGTAGGGGTTCCAGCCAATGATCCTCTTGACCCTATAGAAGCAGAGTGAATAAATGATGCTATGATAGGAGGTCTTATCTGGGCAGACAATGAATGGAAGGGTTATGGAAGGCAATATGACGTGACAAGTTTGTATCCAAGTATCCAGCAATTGAATGTAAACTTTCCAATCCGACAAGGTAAGTTTCAAATACTCAAAGACTTTGTATACTACAGAGGTTATGCCTTGTATGGATTATTTCTTGTTAAGGTAAGTGGTAATGACATTCTCTTCTGACAGAATAAGAGGGGAGTCTATACATTCATTGACTTACAACGAGCAAAGAAACTTGGTCTTGATATACAGTTAATCCAGGATGGAAAGCCAAATGCCTTGATATATGACAGAGAAGCAAGAATTCCTGGGACTGTAATATTTGGTGAGTATGTTCACTTTCTCTTCAATATAAAGAACCAGGGTGGCGTGGCTGGTCTTGTTGCAAAGAGAGTTCTCAATACATTATGGGGAGCACTCTGCCAGAGGAAACGCAATTACAAGACACTCACCACAAATCAAACAGATCCATTCAAGTTTCCAGAAGGCCACACACTTGACTCCATCATACCAGTAGAATCTGACCAGTGGCGATTCCAGTTAACAAACCCAGGTAGTCCCTTCAAGGGTGAGTATCCTAGGATCGCTCCATTCTTATTAGCACATGAACGGAAGATGATTTCAGAGTTATTAGAACCATATAAGTAAGGTTGCTTGCCAAAACTAGGGTTTCGGCAGAACGGCGTATGCGAAACTGCCGAAACTAGTTTTGCAAAATCACCTGAAATGCCAAAACTGCTGAAACTGTTTCGGCGTTTCAGCATAGTATATCATATGACATACTATAGTTTCGGCATTTTGATAATCTATTGATAAAAACTGGCCAATCAATCTATTTTTTTTTATCGGCCAAAATTTTTTTTAATAAAAAAATAATTAAAAAAATTATTTTTAATTATTTTTTTTTCAGTTTTTTAAACCAAAATTTTTTTTTTATATTTCTTTTCCGGCTTTCTAAACCGAAATTTTTTTTAAAAAAATTTTTTTTTTTTATATATTTCTTTTTCGGTTTTCTAAAACCGAAATTTTCTTAAAAAATGTAAGTTGTAAAAATGGCGGGTATATTTTTAATATTAAAGAAACGTTAGTAACGTTTCTTTCTCTATCTTTTTTAGGTTACCGGACTCTTTGGACGAATGTGGATTCTATTGGAACGAAGTAAGGGCAGTTTTTGGTCCTTCCTTAGAGTGAAGTATGTGGTAAGTAGTTTGGATGGATGTATAATATGAAATGACATTATAAAACAATACTGACGACATTCTTTTTTTATCTTTTTTTAGATTTTCGGCTGTAGAATATGCGGTAAGTGAAGTTTGGGTGGGTGTATAATATGAAATGGCGTTATAAACAACATTAACAACATTATTTTTTTATTTTTTAGATTTCTGGCTTTCTCTTGAAGTGGGATATGCGGGTAGGTGTTTGAGTGGTGTGTAGTTGTGTGTTTTTAATATCAAGAACCATTCTAACTATACATGCCACCCAAATTATTTTGGGCTGCCGTAATTATAAGTAAAATCCCAAATTCAATTATGGCATCCCAAATTATTTTGGTACTTTATATAGTAAATTATATATAAACTGAATGAATTACGGCATCCCAAATTATAATTATGACATCCCAAAATAATTTGGGCAGCATGTATAATTCTAACATTTTCTTCTACTTTAGGTTGCCGGAATTCTAAGATGAGCTGTTGGCCTTG